CTTTATATAGAAGGCCTTAAAAGACTTCGTATAAAAGGCCTTAAAGGACTTCGCAAAGAAGACCGTAAAGGACTTCGCATAGAAGGCCTCAAAGGACTTCGTATAGAAGGCCTTAAAGGACTTCGCATAGAAGGCCGTAAAGGACTTCGTATAGAAGGCCTTAAAGGACTTCGCATAGAAGGCCTTAAAGGGATTCGTATAGTAGGCCTTAAAGGATTTCGTCTAAGTCCTGTAGAATGTTTTCTGTCTATAAAGGACCTGTAGAAGGGTTCTCTGTCTATAGAGGACCTATAGAAAAGTTCTCTGTTTATAGAGGACATGTGGAAGGGTTCTCTGTCTACAGAGGATCTTCAGAAGGTCCTCTGTCTATCGATGACCTGTAGAAGGTCCTCTGTCTATAGAGAATGTCTAGAAGGTTCTCTGTCTATAGAGGACCTGTAGAAGGTTATCTATCTACAAAGGACCTGCAGAACTACATCTGTCCATAGAGGGACTGTAAAAATTCATCTGTCTAAGGTCCTCTATCGACATGACACTTTCAGGAGAGCCTCTGTCAATAAAGGACCTGTAAAAGGTTATCTTTCTATAGAAGATCTGTAGAAGGTCCTCTTTCTATAGAGGCTCTTTAAAAGACCCTCTGTCTATAGAGGATAGAATATCTTCTTAGAGGACCTATAGCCGATATGATAGAGGACCTATATAGAGAACCATTTGAAGGTCCTCTGTCTATTGAAGAACTAAGAAAGACACACTGTCTCTATTGAAGATCCTTTGTCTATAGAGGACCTCTGTCTAAAGATGGCCTTTAGAAGGTCCTCTTTCTAAAGAGGGCCTGTAAAAGATCCTCTGTCTATAAAGGACCTTTTATATTTTCTCTATCTATCGAGGACCTTTCGAAGGTCCTCTGTCTATGGATGACCTGAGGAAGGTCCTCTATCAACATCAGACTTTTGGGAGTTCCTCTGTCAATAGAGGACCTTTAGAAGGTCATTCGCTCACAGAGGACTTTTAAAGGTCCTCTGTCCATGGATGACTCTTAGAAGTTTCTCTGTCTATCGAGCACTTTTGGAAAGTCACCTTTCTATAGAGGACCTGCAGTAGACCATTTGTTTTCAGAGGACCTGTGAAAGATCCTCTGTATATAGTAAACCTGTAGAAGGTCCTCCACCAATGTAGTACTTTTAAAGGGTCCGTTGTCTATTCAAGGCCTTTAGAAGGCCCTCTGTCTATAGAGGATCTTTAGAAGGCTTTAGAAGGGTTTTCCAGGACCAACCGTACATTTTGGGAATATTTTTCAAGGACCACACGTTGATTTTTAAGAAGACCAATCGAGCATTTTTTAAGCATACTCTTTTAAGGACCATCAAAGTCAGAAACACGGAAGACATTTAAGCCATTTTCTCAATTCGATTTTTCTCATTTTCTGATCCCCCATCTAATACCCGTCTACGACTCCCCTCATATGTGCAGCATATCTTTCCCCAAAACCTTACCTCCCCTGCCCTGCATGTAACGGTCATTACGGATAACCACAAAAATGGCCAATAAATTGTTAATGATTTTGTGGGTAATTTGAAGAAATATCTTCACCACACAACACCACAGGTGCTTGGCGTGCTGTGAGCATTTATGGTGGAGTGGGGACGACTGCATTGTCTAGAGTATCAGCCAACTTCCCCATGTGCGGATGCCGTAGTTTATGTTCATTTGGGGGGCTCCCTGCTTTACGGAAACAATTCCATGATAACGATCATGTCTGGGGTCATGGGGTGCGGGAGTAGGGCATGTTTATAACTGTGATCTTGTTGTTATGCAGTAACTACAACAAACATAATTGGGGATGTGCTGAAGATCATCATCATCGGCAGCAGCACCATCGCCACCAATATTTTTTTTTTTTTGAAGATGCTTGGATGCAGCAAAGAAAGATCTCCATCAATCGGCTCCACATCAAATCAAAAATCCATATGTTGTCTGTCTGAAGTTGGGGTTGTTGTTGGTGTTGTTTTGGATGTTGTGTTTGTTGTTACAAATCGCCTTTGTGGCGCTGAGTTTTTATCAGTGCCAATGAGGCGCCTCATCTATCAATGATGTGGGGCAACCAGCCGTGGTGGATGCTGGTGGTGGCTGTCTAAGGCACGGGAGTTGAGGTTGTTGTTGTTGTTGTTATTTGTCTGTATTGATTGTTTAACTCATCTCATCTTTTGGTTTTTGAAGATATTAATCAGTTGTTGTTGTTGTTTTAGTTTTATCGATCGGAACAATTAATTACTCAGGTTAATCGATTTTCCTGACTGCATGGATTCTCCCTAGCCTCCCTTCTCTGCCCCCCCCACCCCCCACCATTCAACCATTCCACAAATGGCCAATGTTGAAGCAATTCCATCAATTTCATTTAATTTTTTTCAGACCAACAATTCGAGAAAATTAATCGCTTCTAGTCTGATTAGCCCAAAAACAACATAAACACATCATTCCTTCGATCCTCAATCGGACCAAGTGCCGATTGATGGCCATCGAAATGATTTGATTTGATTTGAATGTTTCACATTTTCGTGGCGTAATAATTTGTTTAAATGGCAATTCGATTTCAACTAAATTGTGATTAATTGCCACGATCTAAATAATTGTGAAATGAGTTCCTCGCTTTGTTTATTGTATGGGGTAATTTCAACAAAATTACCGGTATTCTAATTGGGCTGAGAATGAGGAAACAACAAAAGGAGTGATTAGCTGATTTTATTATTTTTATGAGGGAAATAAATCTCTGGGGGATAAATTGATTGACTAACTAATTTAGGGAAGAACATTAAAATTTATTCAAAAACAAATAAATAACTCCTTTGCATGGGCGGACTTTAAGGCCAGATTTTGATTTGAAAAAAATCTGGACCTATAGTCCCTGAAAAATACTCAAACTCGATCCTTTAAAAATATATTTAAAAATTCATCTATGGTCCTTGAAAAATATCCACTTTGGGTCCTTGGAAATTTTTTCAGAAAAATCCACGTTTTTCCCTTGAAAGAATATTGGAAAAAAATAGTGAGTGAGTGGTCCTTGAAAATATTCACTTCAGAAAAATATTGAGATATATTGACATTTGACCCTTGAAACAATTTTGAGAAAAATCCACTTTTGGTCCTTGAAACAATATTGAGAAAAATACACATTGGGTCCCTGTAAAAATATTCGTAAAAATCCACTATTGGTCCCTAGTAAAATATTTAGAAAAATACACTTTTGGTCAATGAACAACTTTTCTTAAAAATCCATTTTTGGTCCTTCTTAAAACCCCACGTTTGTGGCTCTGATAGGCCCTGAAAAATAGTCAGAAAAATCTACTTTTGGTCCTTGAAAAACTTTTCTTAAAACCCCACGTTTGTGGCTCTGATAGGCCATGAAAAATAGTAAAAAAAATCCAAGTTTGGTCCAAGAAAAACTATTCTTAAAAATTTAGGGTTTGTCCAAGCAAATCCATTCCGAAAAATCCACGTTTTGTCCTTAAAAAATGTTCAGAAAAATCCAGATTGGGTCCTTGAAAAATGTTCCGAAAAAATCTACATTGAGTCCTTGAAAAAATATTCTTAGAAATCCACTATTGGTACCTAGAAAATATTAAGAAAATTTCACGTTTGGTGCTTGAAAAAATATTCCTGAAAATCCACGTTTGGTCCTTAAAAAATATTCAGAAAAATACACTTTGGGTCCTTGAATACTAATCTTAAAAATTATTCAGAATAAACCCACTTTTTATCCTTAAAAAAATTTTATGAAAACCTACGTTTGGTGCCTGAAAAACTTTTCTTACATCTTGTCCTTGAAAAAATATTCAGGAAAATCCACGTTTGATCTTTTAAAAAAATATTCAAAAAATATATTTTTGGTCCTTGAAAAAATATTCAGGAAAATTCACGTTTGATCTTAAAAAAATATTCAAAAATTAAATTTTTGGTCCTTGAAAAAATATTCAAAAAACAAATTGTTGGTCCTTGAAAAAATATTCAAAAAAATAAATTTTTAGTCCTTGAAAAAATATACAAATAATAATTTTTTGGTCCTTGAAAAAATATTTAATAAATAAATTTTTGGTTCTTCAAAAAATATTCAAAAAAATAAATTTTTGGTTCTTGAAAAATATTCAAAAAAATTAATTTTTGGTTCTTGAAAAAAATATTCAAAAAAAATAAATTTTTGGTTCTTGAAAAAAATATTCAAAAAAAATAAATTTTTGGTACTTAAAAAAATATTCAAAAAATAAGTTTTTGGTACTTGAAAAAATATTCAAAAAATAAATTTTTGGTCCTTGAAAAAATATTCAGGAAAATCCACGTTTGGTCCTTGAAAAATATTCAGGATAATCCACGTTTGGTCCTTGAAAAAATATTCAGAAAAATCCACATTTGGTCCTTGAAACCTATTCTTAAAAATCCACGATTGATCCTTAGAAAAATATTCAGAGAAATCTACATTTGGTCCTTGAGAAAGAAAGAAAATTTTAAGAAAATCCTGTTAGGACCTTGAAAATTTTTCAGAAAAATTTACTTTTAGTCATTAAAAAATATTCAAGAAATCCACTTCTTGGTTTGGTCCTTTAAAAAATATCAAAGAAAATCCACGTCTGGTCCTTGAAAAAATATTCAAGAAAATTCACGTTTGGTCCTTGAAACATTAAGAAAAATCTAAGTCTGATTCTTAAAAAAAAATAAAAAAAAATGTTGGTCCTTGCAAAATGTTTCAAAAAAATCCACATTTGATCCTTGGAAAAATTTTCAAAAAAAACACGTTTGATCCTTGATAACATTTTCAGAAAAACCCAAATTTGTTTCTTCAGAAAAATCCACGTTTGGTCCTTGAAAAACTATTCTTAAAATTTTCTTAAATAGCTTCGGACGGTCTCTCAAAAATGTCTCTATAATTCTAGACCATTTTCTAGAAACCATTCCCTAATTTTTATTCAAATATTTATATTTCGCTATTTAATTCCATAATTCTTTTTAAGTTCCAGTTAATCCCATGGCCCAATATAACGCTACCCTGCTGCGGCTACATCAGGCTCACATACAACAGAAATCAATGGCACCGCATCCTCATTTACCTGCCCAACCCAATTTCACCCTGGCCTCATTGATGAATCCAATGTGTAGCATCAAAACCGTCTCGGCGAATCCCCATCCGGTGGGTCTGGGAAACTTTTCTCTCTCATCAGTGACACCAAATTCCCGCTATACCACAAAGGGGGCGATAAGTTTTGATCTTCCTGGTATTCGACCAAATATGAATTGTATTTCGAATCTAAGACATCATCCGATGACATCGAATGAGGGTCATCTACATTTTCCAGCGGGAAATGTCAATTCTTCGACGGGAAATGGTGGTTCTGGAGGCAGTGGCCAAGTTGGGAACAATGGCAGCAGCAGCTCACACACCCCCTCCACATCGCTCAGCAGTAATGGGAAAAGAAAGCGTTCATGGTCGCGTGCTGTTTTCAGTAATCTCCAACGCAAGGGTCTTGAGATACAGTTTCAACAGCAAAAATACATTACGAAACCGGATAGGCGTAAGCTGGCGGCAAGGCTGAACTTGACCGATGCTCAGGTGAGAGAGAAACTTTAATGATTTTTAAATTATTTTTTATTCAATTTTTTTTATTCTCAGGTCAAGGTCTGGTTCCAAAATCGCCGCATGAAATGGCGCCACACCCGTGAAAATCTCAAAAGTGGTCATGAGAAACAGCCCCAACAAACGTCTGCAGACAATAATCCCTCCTCGAATTCCACAAAAATGAACATGGAAGCCTCCTCCTCTCTAACGCCGGGCGGCTATTCTTCAGATTGTTCTTCAAGTTTAGAATTGAGTGATGCCGATGATGATGAGGATGAAATTGATGTGGTAGAATAATTCAACGACCCCCGAAGATGGATGCGAATAGCTTTAATAAATTATTTATTTTTATTTCAAATATAATTTCTAAGAGTATTGTGTAACAAAATTTTGTATTAAAAAAAAAATATTGAAAAAATGGAATTTGAAATGTTTGCTTTTAGAAGACCGAGTGTCTTTGGTAAGAAGACCCTGCAAGTTTTGGAAGAAAAGGCCTTAAAGGACTTCTTATAGAAGGCCTTAAAGGACTTCGTATAGAAGGCCTCAAAGGACTTCGTATAGAAGGCCTTAAAGGACTTCGTATAGAAGGCCTCAAAGGACTTCGTATAGAAGGCCTTAAAGGACTTCGTATAGAAGGCCTTAAGGGACTTCGTATAGAAGGCCTTAAGGGACTTCGTATAGAAGACCTAGAATGCTTTAAAAATTTCGAACAGAAGGCCTTCGAAGAGAAGGCCTAAAAGCACTTCCGCCGAAGACTTTAAAGGATTCGTATAGAAGGCCTTAAACTACTTCGAATAGAACATTTCGAGGACTTTAAATAAAAGTCGCCTGAAAATCCCTAATTACTTAACGTTAATAGCCACAGACAATCATTAGCTAGAGATAATCTTTAAAAGTTCTAACTTTATAGCCATTGGAAATCGTGGAAAATATCTGATCAAATTCTTAATATACCCTTAAAATCTATTGAAAATATTGTTGAGAATTTCATTCTAAACACCTCCAATTCTATAAAGAAATATTGTCAAAAAATCCAAGTGTAACGCCCCTAGGCCTTAAAAATGTTATTAAAGCTCCATGCATGGTTCTGCAGAAAATATTAGTAGCAATTCACTATTAGTCCTTGAAAACGTGTTCTTAAAATTCAGATTTGATCGTTCTTTAAAGTCCACGTTCAGTTTGACTCGTTGAAAAATACCTTTGAGGTCTTTGAATTTTTGAAGATAAAATATTCTTAAAAACTTCACGTTTTGTCCTTAAAAAATTGAAGTTTGTGGCCTTGTAGGTCCCTAAAATTATTTTTAAATAGCCCTTGAAAAAATATTCTTAAAACTTCACGTTGGTCCTTGAGAAAAAATTCGTAACGATCCACTTTTAGGCCTTGTCCTTTTAGCTCTGTAGGTCCTCCTAAAAATACTCTTAAATTTCCAAGTTCATGGCTTTGCAGATCCTTGAAAAAAATCTTAATCTCCTTGAGAAAATATTTGTAACAATTTATAATAAACCATATTTGTAAAATCTTATTTGGAAGAATTAGTCCTTTTCCTTGTGACTCTGTATGTCCTTAAAAAGCATACTAAAAATCCACGTTTGTAGCTCTGTATGTCCTCCAAAAAATATTTTTAATAATCTACGTTTGGTCCTTAAAAATATATTCTTAAAGACTACACGTGTGTGGCTATGTAGGTCCTTTTTATAAATTTCAATAATAATCCTTGAAAAATTTTCTTAAAACACCATTTCTAGTCATTAAAAAATATTCTTTAAATCCACATTTACGGCTCTATAGGCCCTTGAAAAATGTTCTTAAAAATGTAGATTTAGAATATTTTTTAAGGACCAAATGCTGATTGAGAATTGAAAATTCTAAACCACAAAAAAATATTCTATCAAGGGACAACAGGACGCAAACGTGGATATTTTTAAGAACATTTTTGAAGGACCTATAAGGCAACTACAATCCTTAAAAAATTGGTCCTTGAGGGAATATTTTTAAAAAAGTTCACGTTTGCGATCCAGAATGTGCAATTCTCAATCAAAATTGGGTAATTAAAAAAGTAGATTACTTTTTCAAGGACCCAATTTTGATTGACCCCAATTGCACATTCTGCATCGCAAACGTAAACTCCGTATTTAGTCATTAAATAATATCTTTTTATTTAGTCCTCGAGTTCCTGAACAAATTATTCGTAAAAATTCCAAATTTGCAGAATCCCAAATTTAACTGACCATTTGGGCGCCACCTAGTGTCCACTAGTACAACTATCGATACAGTATATAGTAAGTCTAACAACCGCAAAATAGAGATGCCACACGTTCATATTTCTACAACAAAGAGGATTGAAATAACGGTTTGCAAGTGACGACGAATTGTCAATAGATGGCGCAACTACACTTATTAACAGGAGGTAGTTCAAGAATCCAGGGATGGAATAGTGTATATCGATGTGTAAAATAGTACTGAAATAACTGACTGACTGATATAGAACCAAATGGTGCGCAAGCATGTGGTTTTTAGAATTTCGTATTAAAAGGGTACGAAAAGTACTGGACAAACAGGAATGAGCAAGAATTCTAAAGTTTTTAAAGAGAGTCACTGATAGAGTTCAGGATAGATGTATCAAAGGTTTTCTGGAAATTCGAACTTTAAGGTTACGAAAAGTTCAAAATTGGTACTAAACTTTTAAAATAGTAAAATTTGGTATTATGTGAAAGGATAGAGCTAAAAACTTTATGTTTGGTATGAGCATAAGGATTGGAAAGTAAGTTTGATAAATGAAGGTGGTTTTGGAAACGTGTACTAAGTGTGCAAATTGGTCTAAATGATACCATATTTAGAACAGTTTGGTTTAGGGGGATCGGATGAAGCTGACATTTTGTATTTAAATTTTGTAATTTGGGTCCCTGTTGGTGCTAGGTTTGGAAATGTATACTACAAGTGTACGAAAAGTACTAAATAGTACTATCTTTGGTACAATTTGGTATTGGGTCGCTTTTCATGCATTGCATGGATTTCATGCATATAGATGTGATTCCGGAAAAGTGTACTATAATTGTACGAAATGTACTATACTTGTTATTGGTTAAAGGGATAGGTCTGGAATCCTTGATATTTCGTTTAGTAATGGTATCTATGTTTGGGATTTGGCGATGGTTCGGAAATGTGTCCCATATTTTTACGAAAAGTACTAAATGGTACTAAATTTGGTATTGGATGAAGGGATAGGGCTGGAATCCTCAAATTTAATATTGAGGTCCCCGTTGGTATCTGGAATTCAGATATGGAGTTGATTCTAGAATTGTGTTCTATAAGTGTACAAAAAGTACTAAATAATACTGAATTTTGTATTTGAGAAGGATTAGATGTGGGTCCATTGTGCGATGTTTTTAGTGATATTCTCCACGATAAACTTTAGAATGAAACTTTTTAAAGACTTTTTGGTGGAAAAGGTAAACATTTCAAAGAAAAACTTTACGATTTATTATTAAAACAAGGAAGCAAATGCTATAGTCGTGTGGGGCCGACCATGTCATACCCTACGACACTACAATATTTTCGAAGTAATATAGTATGTAAAAATCCATTTTGGAAGATTTAGTTTTTGAAATAATGCAAATAGCTCTGCCAAGAAGCTACACTTAGTCTTTTGACCCGGAGAAATTGGCCAATATTTACGCACTCCGTAGTGTTGATAAGTATTCAAAACAATTTCACACGAAAGTTGTTGTCCATTTTACAGCTAAATATAATCCAATGGTCATCGAAAATGCTAAACTTCTTCCTTGTCCTTAACTCTCTTCTGATGCGAAATTCTATTAGTTTTCAATTGTGGCCTATAGAGCGACTTCAAAATTTGAAAAAAATTAAATTGTTTTAGTCCATTTGCACCTCTAAATGTACATATTAAGAACAATAGGCTTTAATTCTGACCCTAATCCTACCCCCATGCAAAATTTATAATACCCTCAAAACGTAGTGTTGGGGGGTGTAAAAATTTAGAGAATTCACAATTCAAAATTGTAAATCAAATTGAAAAAACCGCATGCGATAAAAAATGTGACAAAAAATGAAAAAAATCGACAAAAGGTATTCACTTTTTTATTGGCATATTTTTCCGCGATTTTCTTAGATTTTATCGTTTTCTGGCAAGAGAACATTCCGATTTATAAGCAGAATAAATAAGATCAGTTCTTTTACATATTTATTGCACCTATTTTTCTATATATCCGATTTCTTGGCTATTAGCATCGTTGTAATGATCAGAAGTGATCTTTTAATGTACTTATGATTTGGCTGGGATTGAAAATATTCGCGGTTTAGTGGACATTTTCCTATTTTCTTACATAAAAGATAGGGTCTATTTTACCCGCTAATTATTGTCCGATGGCCGCCCAAACTGGTAGGTTTCTGCCCACTCCTAAACTCTAACTCCATGTATATTTTCGCGTCGATTGGTTCATATTTGTTGCCTATGGAGCAACTGCAAAATCAGGAAAATTTACTGATTTTGGTCCATTTCAACCCTTAAATGCGATCATCTCCAAAAACAATAGGGTTCTAATCTGACCCAAACCCCAACACATTAGTGTTGTAGGGTTCTATTCTGACCCAAACCCCAACACATAGTGTTGTAGGGTATAAAAAATCGGCAAACCGAGCACATTGTGAATTTTACTAAAAAGGTCTATAACGAGCTGACGAAGTATTGGGTACTTGCTAATACTAAATATGTTTGTCAGATGCTCGTTTTTCAGATTACCAACGCAAAATTCCAAATGAAGATTTAAAGATAGACTGTGATGTTCGCCCGTCAGCTGTGCGGGGATTTTGGTGGTAAGCTGTAGCTGAAGTGTAATCGGGTATATTGTTCGGGTTAAATACTAATAAGTCCGGGTATGGTGATAAAGATGTTCAGATTGTAGATGATTTGAAGATAATCGGGAACTCTGATAAATAGATTGCGATGTTCGGGTTACGGATTATTTCGCTGTTCGGTTTGCAATAAGGAACTCTGGTGAAAAGCGTTGGGCTGGCAGGCGTTCAGGTTGGGTACGAGATTGATGATCAGCAAGTGGTATCGCTGCTGAGAAGTCATTTAGTCTGGTTATGCTACGGTCTACGACCACCTCTACATTACTACTCTAGATTCAACTTGTCACAGTGAGCCTAAAGCTCCTGTGCGACAATGGGCACGAAGCTTCAATGTGGCAACGAGTCGAAACTCCAGTTGGGATAGCGAACCCGAAGCGCCTGTGTCAGTGGATTACCGGCCATATATGTAAATGAGAACCAGCAACAAATTATATTCCCAATATAAATTATATAAAACAATAAATGATGAAATGAAATCACCACGTGCCCTTTAGGCAAGCCCCC